CAGCTTTTAAAACCTCTGAGCTGAGAGAATAAAGCTGATAAATGATGTGGAAGGTAATTTGACCCCCCCCCCCCCCTTATTTTGAGCTGAGACTTAGTCTGCCTCCCGTTGCTATGCAACAATCGGAGAATCATTATTGAATAAGTTATTAACTTAAGGCAATAGTTCAAGAGAGGCATTTCAGACCAGGAGGCATGATCTTACTCTTAATTTATTAAGCCAACAGAACAAAGTATGCGGGGGGGGGGTTCTGTGCGGCGCACTTCTCTGTGCTCGGTGATGAGTGGTTATGACAGATGATAATAAGTGTCTGCCAGATGCTGATGTAAAGCCTCTCCTTCTTCCTGGTCCCCAGTGTCCACAACCACACCCAGGCTCTTGACCCTAATGACCCCTTCAGCAATCCAATTCCATTTCCTGCTGCCAGCTGCCCTGAATGATTACTCTGACTAACTCCAGTCATAGGGAGGCGGGGGCCCCAGGCTGTGTGTGTGTGTGTGTGTGTGTTGTGTGTGTGTGTGTGTGTGTGTGTGTGGTGTGTGTGTGTGTTGTGTGTGATGTGTGTTGTGTGTGTGTTGTGTGTGGTGGTGTGTGTGTGTGGTGTGTTGTGTGTGTGTGTGTGTGTTGTGTGTGTGTGTGTGTGTGGTGTGTGTGTGTGTGTGTGTGTGTGATGTTGTGTGTGTGTGTGTGTGTGTGTGTGTGTGTGTGTGTGTGTGTGTGTGTGCGCGTGCGTCCGTCCGTCCGACTGTCGGGGTGTGTTCTTGGGATTCTGTTCAGTGCTTTGGCAGTGTGTGTGTGTGTGTGTCTGTCTGTCTGTCTGTCTGTCTGTCTGTCTGTCTGTCGGGGTGTGTTCTTGGGATTCTGTTCAGTGCTTTGGCAGTGTGTGGGTGTGTGTGTCGTTTTTTATTACAAGTTTTATTTTGTGTCTGGGAGAGTCCCCTGGCAGAGCAAACACAGACACCAATTAAAGCTGCTGCAGCGTGTGCACCTTTACATCACTAATAATGTTCCTCAAGAAGAGAAACAAGCCGTGCTAACCCTCCTCGTCCTGATCGCAGATTCTTCCTAATCAGATACAAGCAACGAGGCCCTACATGTTCCCAGGTATTAAAAAAGAACGCTGAGAGGACATAACCGAGGTTTTAAAAAGAACAACACACTTGAGAATGAGTATATTTATATTCCTGGGGTACTAACAAGGTACTTAACATCCTCATGGTAAGCATGAGTGCTAATAAAGATCAAACTATAATACTACACTATTATATTATATTGTTTTAGGGCGGCTCAGTCTGTAGGGAATTGGCATGGGAACCGGTCTATATAATACGGAGTGTGCACTGGGAGCAGGAGGCTGCCGACGTGCCCTTCACCCTAACCCCCATCATCCCTGACGCCGGACAAACTGGCAGCCTGTTGCTCTGACATCTCTCCATATCACAGCGAAATGCATGTGTTTGTATGTGTATCTATGAATTCAGACCTCATGTGTATTGTACTGTGTGTGCGAACACAGTTAGGTGTACTTGACTGCACTATTCAAATGCATTTACATATACCTAAGTAGAGCCTTTTCAACTAATCAGAACTTTTTAAAAATACAATATTTTCCAACTTGTTTCAACTACAATTGTGTTTTAATTATATTTCGGTTAACTTGAAAGTCGTTATTGATGATATATTTTCAAAATCCATGATGCATTTACAGATATTCCAAATAATACGTATAAAATAGCTATTCTAAAAGTGAATTGAATATACTGAAAGAACAGCTTAATAAAAGAGATACTTATTTAAGTGCATCTTAATGCTTTCTTAAAGTCAAGTTCACTTAAATGTATTTGAATGTGTCTTAATCGCATGTATAATATATATGAATTAGGACATTGTTAGTACATCAACAATAATATACTTTTAGTACATTAATGGTTTGCACATGGATGCATATTAAGTGTACTTGTGCTTCTTTATACCTGGGATGTGTCAAAGTTAGACTCAGACTGTTTATTCCAGAGCACTGTGTGTGCTTTTAATTGAACAACATAAGAAAGAATTATATTCTGACAGCAGCTGTTGAATTGTTTGTTTGAATGCATTGCCATTGCCATTGCCACCATTGATAATCAAGTCTTGATCACACAACACAAACACACCAGTTAGCACCAGCTCTTAACCTCATTTAAGAAATGGTGATTTACACTTAGAACAATTTGCATTACACAAACCAGTTCTTACTTACTTTTGAAAAATGTTTGGACAAAGTAGTGCCAGCTAAACATAAACTAACAAGATTTTAAATAGCATTGCCCCCCAAAGATTAATGCAACACCTTCATTCATAATGCTTATAACATTATTCTTTCAACCTAACATGACTAAATGAGCAGATTATTCTAAGCTACATACAGTAGTGTGAAACACTTATATTTCTCCATGTATTCTGATATAAATAAACCGTCTACTTTTACAACCCGTATGCTGTTGAGTTTATTTTCTTTGTTATTTTTCCAAATCTGTTCTATATTTAAGTTGTGAGTCACAGCACAGTGACTTCCTGTTTCATGACAATAGAATAAACACTACTCAAATCTGAGTTTAGCTCGTTTTAATAATGCTAGCGTTATAGTAATAATAATAATAATAAATTATATTTCTATAGCGCTTTTCTCTAACTCAAAGACGCTTAATTAATAATAGTAATAGTATGTTAAATAGGCCCTATATTGCTTCTTGGGTTTTCCCTTTCCTGTAGTCGTGTCTTCTTTGGGTTTTTGTTCATGTAAATAGTCTGCAGAGTAACATCACTATGTAACACTCGCGCTTCTATTGGCTAGTGCTCAAACACATTGTACGTGATAGGCTAAGGCGCGGGACATCTTCAATAGGTTGACCAATCACAACAGAGCCGGCCAGCTAACCAATCAGAGCAGACTGGGCTCTGGTGTCAGACAGAGGGTGAAAAGAGGTGCTGCAGCACAGGCAGTGTGAGAGAAATAAAGAGCTTTCTGAACATTAGAGCATGGAGACATGTCCCAGGAGAGGAACTGAATATGAACCTGAAAATGAGCAGAATAGAGCCCCTTTAAATCTAGGTCATAGTGACATGCTGGGAATGTAGAAGAGATCTTATACACACATGTATTGATGGATGAATGAATGGCAGATGGCAGATTGGATTGAGTTTTGACTCATTTGAAAACACGTTTTTGGGTTAAGATTAACATATTTCATTTTTTTACTTTCAAAATAGTTTCAGCACAATAAAGTGAGATAGACTACAACCACAAATATAATGTTTAGTTCCTTAAATGGACAATTAGACCTTTGAGGTCTTTTATGTTGTTGACAAGTCATCATTTCATTTCGAGGGCTCTTATGTCCACTGTAATTCCCAGCAACAATGTGATGACAGAATAAGACATTTCCAGCATGGTTACAGAGAAATATCTGATTATCTAAGTCCTTAGCGGTACATGTCAAGTGTTGATGTCAGAGTTGTTTCTACTGAATAATTTTGAATGAATCAAGTGGGAGACTTATGAGCAGTTGAAAGACTGGCCTCTGCACAGACTCAACAGACCAGAGTGCATTGCAGATTGTGTTTTAAATCACAAGGCTGACTTTCATGTTCATATTCATCACTCTGTTGCTTTTGCTATGCTATACCACGCTCTCCTATCCCACGTACTTTAAGCAACAAGAAGCTCGCAGCTGTTCTCTCTGATGCCTGTCGAAAAGTCGCTATGGGATATGTAAGAAATCACTGAAGCAGATGAGTGTGATTCAAAATGTGAGCACAAACTAACTTTCCCTCTCATAGCACCGGACACCTGTGATGAAAACCAGACATACTAGGAATCAACTTCATATTTAATTAAAGGTCAGCTTATTCTGCCTTTTTTAATTACATTAACGAGGCGAGAGAGAGAGCGAAGGTCGTGTGGAGGATAATGTGATCCTGCTGGCCGTAAGCACACCCAATTACAGAGGCACAGCACTGCTTTCTGCACACTCTGAGCATTCACAGCATCTTCTGTCAGAGCAGGCCATCCATTACTTCCTACTGCCTTGAATGCGATGTAACATTTCCCTCCAGTTTTGCAGCTTTGGTTTTTAATAAGCGTGCTAAGCGAGCTTGATTGAGGCACTTGTTAAAATGCTCTGGGATTTCTTTTTCTTTTTCCCACTGATTCACAGGCCTCCCACGAGCAATTAAGTCCAACGCCAATTACCAGGAGAGCTCTTCCCCCGGGGTTTGTTGATTCACTCTGCTTTTGAACATCTGCAGTCAAAAGCCCCGAGTGTATTCGGCGTAAACTGAGCTTCCTCCGACATCGGTGCTCAACCACAAAATTGAATTACACCTCCTGTGGTAGTACTATTTGCGTTTCAGCAAGCAAACACAAGCATCTCTCCAGCATGTCACATTTGTATTAAACAGAATGTCTTCGGGAATGAACACGGATTCATGCAATTGTTTTTCTCACATCTGTTGAAAAGGAAGGCAGTAGCAGTGACATCGCTGCTGGTTCAGTATTTATTTCCCTTGCAGCTACATGTGGTACACACAGGCCTTCAATCATAAGAGTCTGCATCGGCATGGACATCCACTGGAATGGGGGCGTCAGAAGTAGCAATGCATTGTTCAACATCAAGGTGGGTCAGAGATCATCGTAAGGCAAACCACTGTCCAACACTGAACAGGATTTCAGGAAAGCAAATTTCATGTTGTACATTTCAAAAGTAAAATACTAGTATGTACTTGAAAGAGTTATTGGTTGCTGTTATTGTTGCTGATGTCCATGATGGATGTGAAGAGGTGTATTATGGGTTACGTTATATGGGTTAGTCAATGTGATTTAAATAAAGGTTACTAATACCTAAGACAATACCTAAGACAATACCTAATCTCACATGAATATAATGCCACACCCCATTTTAAACTCATGGATCATGGACCCCCCTCCCCCCCCCCCCCCCCCCCCCCCCAGCAAAGTCCCACATTTGAGAAGATTATGAAGTGATCTGTTCAAGGCCGGCATGGACAGAAGGAACAATAACAGACTAACATGAACTCTGTCAGTGTACATAAAGGCATGTGAGGAATGAAATAAGACCGTCTTGAAAAAATGAAAACATGACCTTTAAACATTTCCATACCAACAAAACGTAACGGTTAGAAATTAAATTTAAAAAAGGGCGGTGGACCCCCCACTACATCCACGATAACAGTACAGCACTAGTAGGATTTCCTGAATACTTGTTCTGAGTCTTTCCTCTCGTTCTGTCCATGCATTCAGCTGAGCACTTCTAAATCCTCCTCAGTTCCTGACACATGTGAGCAGGATTCCGAGCCAGCTCTCAGATTAATGGATCCGTACAACTTTGCTGCGTGTTTGGAATACGCAAAGGCTTTCCTCCTCATCATCTCCCCTTTCCACATGGAGATCATGAGCAGGGTGGAGAGCAGCACGCCCCCGAGGGTGAGCAGGCTCAGCCCCGCTATGACACAGCGGTCCAGATGGGCCCCCACCCTGGCTTTCTCCCGCTCCAGCCGCTCCATCTCCCGGGCGGAAACACTGTCCGGGTCGGCGCGCACATCCCTGGGGACCGTGTAGGATATGGCGACCAAAGAGATACCGGTCACCAGGCATGTCACCGCGATGATGAAGCCGTAATCCACAGACTTCCCCGAAGCCTCAGAGGAGAGGTCTTCGTCGGACAGCAAGTAAAGTTCCGTGATGTCCTCCTCCTCATCTTCCTCCACCAAATCCTCCTCGTACAGTTCACTCGAGGAGCTCTGACTCAGTGTGCAGTTTTGTGGACTTGTCCCTATCAGTTTGACATCATCATCTTCAGCTCGCTGTTTGCGGGTGAAACATGTCTCTGCTTCCTCCTCCGGACGCGCGCCTCTCCGGGTCTCTGTCCATGGCGCTGAGCCCTGAAGCGCCTCGTTGACACTTTGCTGATTTAAACCCGGGGAGGTGTCTTTCAGATCGGGCTGGTGACAATCAAACAGTTCGAGATCAGCCATTTGAGCACGGGGCTGGGTTTCCCGTTTTGCAAAGCCCATGCATCCGTCTCTGTCAGTGAAACACGCACACAAAAATATGTTTAAACTACCTGAAAAGCCACTTTATTCCTGCATCTGAAGTATTTGCACAGGCATAATTTCTCCTGCATGCACCGCAAGCATTTTAAAGTACAGCTGAGCAAGTATTAAATCACTCCCAAGACAATACACAGACAGTGCCATAATATAATTTCCGCTGCTCCGCTTATGTTTGCCTTTCCAATCGCTGCTCCAAAACACTTAGCAACCATGCGACAGGCTAATGAATCCAATTCCAACCATATTGTGTGCCAATCGGTTATTAAGTAACAACGTGCGGTCTGCTGAGTACCTCTTTCCCCGTCTGTCGCTGCTCGCATCCTCGGCTGCTTCTGCTCCCTGGTCAATCAGAGGGGAAGCTGTGGCAGACCCCTCCCACGGACCGGGCTTCAGCACACCGCCTCATGATTCTTATTGCCGAGCCAGCAGCTCCCGGTACACGCTCACTAATCACATGAGTCAGGCGGCACACTGCACGGCGAGATATTTCACATTACTGTACCACCTCCTCATAACACACAGGGAAGTTATGAGCACTGATTGTTTGATTGATGGTTCATCAATTCTTTATGAGCTGTAAGTCATTATTACGAGCAACTTTTGGGTAGCCGGAGGTCTTTCTTGCTGGGGAGTGTTTTTGTAATGGTGAAGTCATGATTTTCTCACGTTGTTAATGCAATGAGTTAAGAGGGTCATAAACCATAAATCTGCAGTTATTTAAATGTTAATCCATCTGATTCAGGATCACAAGTGCCTCACTTTTTAATAAAAAAGACTGCATTTAACGCAAATAGCTAATGATAATAAACTAAATAGCCATTATTAATGGTTAATAATACCCTTAATTAAGAAACAGCAAAACTGCGCTTACATGTAAATGAGTTATGGTAATAAACCATACATTCTGCAGTTATTTAAGACATCCTAATAAAGGGTTCCAACTTTCTCACTTTCTAATAAACAGTAGAAAACCAGTTAAATGCACAATTAATTTTTGCAGTTATTCATGTTTAGAACATCATTAATAAAGAATCAAGAGTTTCTCACTTTTAATAATTTACCAGCAATAGTATTCTGCTGTTAGCAGTGCAGCGCTGTGAAGACGTATGCATTTTTTTGTATGCTTACTTTAGCTAAATGCTATAAGCATATACAAATGCTAATAGTGTCATTGGAACATGCAGATGTTGAGCAGGGACTGGTCACAAGCTTAGTTTAGCTTGTGTTCATCCTGAGGGGAACTTGAATGTTCAGTGAACCAAAATCCATGAAATCCATTTCACTGAAAACTGTAAATATCAGCGCTAGATCTGGTGCTAGTAGAAAAGGTCTACACAATTAATTGGGATACCTCCTCTGGATACCTTGGATGTCTATATTAAATATCATAAAAATCCACTCAACAATTGTTGAGATTACATTCAGGACAAAAGGTGGTTGAATGTTTGCCATTGTTATACATAGCCGTGCAGCTAACGTGGCAATAAGGACATGCCTGCAGTCGGAAATGTCAATAAATTGTCATAAAACTGTAAAACATTGTATTTAGTTTAGGGACAAATGCAAACAAATGGCAGCAGCTTACTGTAAGGGAAACTTCTGCAGCAATGGAGAGTCAGGACTCAGAGAGACACGAGGAGAGTTGGAGCTTTGATGTCAAACAATGATGTTTATTACAAGTCAACGGCCGGAGAATTCATATCACAAGTCACAGCAGCAAAAGGTTCTGACTGCACGGGTGGGTTGTCATGTCAATTCTGATCCGCCTATCTCTCGATAGACCTTTTAATAGTTTACAGAGAGTTAATGAGCATATTGGGGGAGGCGTAAACATCTGTGGAGCTTAGAAAGCCAACGTTCCCACAGCCGTAAACCACATTTCGTGACCGAGAGTTGAACTGGTTTATCAAGATTGCTGGAGCCTCCCATTCCTTAAGAGAGATAACAGAGCCAGGGTTTGGTTGTAAACGTCAACAGGCAATAAGGTTAAATATCTTAGGAGTAAGGAAGAATTATTCTTTGACACTTAGGAATAAGGAATACATATTCTCTAACACTTACAATAACACGATAAGGATGTGTTGCATAAAGGATTTCGAGCCAAGGATAATTTGCGACCCTGGTGAGGCTTTATCGCTTTAAAAAGGTCAAAACATATCATTACCCAGAGTTCATTAGTTAAGATGAGCAAACAATTGATGGTGACATTTTAAAAAATGGGACATGATCAGATACAATTGCTATTTTTAAAATATGTTTTAGTTCAGATGGCCTGAAGCTCCTTACTGAAAGGTTAGAGGTTAGATGTCGATTGCATTGGAGGGTCCATCTGGTTAATCATGAGATAACGTGAGTGTTCTGCCGGAGGACAGAGAACAAAAAACACAAGCCGGGAACATTTATTTTTCATGGGCACAAAAAAAGTAGTTCTTGGTTTAAAATGGCAGGTGTTGATTTATAAAACATCCATACTAACCACTTTAAAGTTATTTGTTAATAACCTTAGAGGGTTTTAAGGGAACAATGGTCACATGATAAGCTTATTTCTAAAGTGATGTTATTTATGCGTTATTGATTGCTCAAGGTAAAGTGTGTGTTCAGGCTCTTCTTTGGCAGGTCAAAGTTCAGCAATATACTGTCCAAATACAAACTTTTCAGTTTTGATAGTCTTGTTCTACTTTCCCGAGTTCGATTGGTATTCAGAATCATTCACAATTCTACAACACCACCGTTGAGGTTTTTTTTTCAGTTTCGCCGTGAGCAGAGTTGCAGAAACTCCAGATCTGCATCAAATGCAGATCTAACCTCCCTCTGAAGCGCACTGCCTTTGGACCATCAGCATTTTCGTTTACGGCCATCAAGCACTGGAATACTCTTCCAGTTGAACTTAAAACCTGTACTGATTTCAACTCGCTTTCCTATGGTGCAAAAAAAATGATATTAAGCAACCAGTCATGCCAACATGAATTACATTGTAATCTGAGTTTTTTAATTTGAACTGTATTGTCATACTATATCTTAGATATTTTATTTAAGTGTATTTGAAGTGTACTAAGTATTATGTTCGTAACCTGAATTTAAATCAGGCTTTTGTAATTATTTGAGTGACCGAGAAAGTGTATTTCACGTGTACTATGTATTAATTTATTGAGCTGTACTTAAATCAGGTTTTTAAATTGTTTGACTGATAGAGATGATGCAATGTTATTATTTGTTTATTGATTGTTATGAACCTGTCTGAGGACCACAGATGGAAATGAGCTATTAGCTATAATCTGGCATATTGCATCTCTTCTCTTTGCTGAGATTAATGTTTTTGTATGCATGGTCCTTCTATAAATAAATACAAACAAATACAAATAAAAGCAGGGGCCCTGTAGCTAATAACTTATTTTTTAAGGTTATTTCGGATTTTGATGGATTATTTATTCAAGGTCTGATTGCAGTTTGAAATTCTGGTGAACATTTTTCTGTCCTAGGTTTATGAAAATACACATATTTACCTTCTTGCAGAAAGTGACTTGATTGCAATCTCCTATCTTTACGGTCAATATTAGGCCACGGTCTGCAGCTAGTGAGTTTAGCTTGGCAAAGAGCCTTGATCTGTCTGAAGTTATATGTCGTATTCCATCGTTTTAATCCGTACAGAAATAGGTGTTTGTATACAGACTTTTTCTGCATGTCTACAGAGCCATGATAGCTGATGTCCAGTCTTTATGCTAAACTAAGCTGTAAGAACTGAAACAAGAGTGGTCATTGATATTCCAGTCCAATATTCAGAAAGAATGCAAAAAAAGCACATTGCCCAAAATGTCAACCCATTCCTTAAATAGTGTATTTAAAATAAACACTCTGCATTATTTAGCTCAGCCCCACAAATTCCCAGTAATTAATATGACATTATCTCAGTGTGATCAACAGCACTTAACCAAACAGGATCACTAGTCAAAGAAAGGTTGTATTAATTACTGGATTAACCGTCCTGCCAACGTATTCAACGTAATTATCGCTACAGTATGCTTTCAAACAATATTATTGTAACAAAAGAACGGCTCAAAGTCCAGAAAAAGGGATTCCCCACCTATGAAATTAGCCTTTTCAAATCTGGCCCATTTCCAGAGGAGCATCCTGCAGCTGGAAGAAACTTTGATATTCAATCACCACCATGTCCAATCCTTTATAGCCAGTTCTCAGGGAAGAGCTCGTATCTCCAAACTGGCAACTTTCCAGGAACAAACAAATCAACAATACTGTCAGATGGACAAAAGAAGTTTAGAATATTCATTTAAGGCTTTTTCTTCGACAAACAGAAGGTTAATTCCGTCTTTCAATTGAATTAAACATCATTGGCGTCACAAGGTTTTCAAATGACAGCCACAATATGCAGGAATGGGTAAATTCCACTTCCTGACCCCCTTATAGTAATCCTCCAGCTCCGCTGCCTCAGCAAAGCACTGGAGCATATGTAGGCTATACATAGCCAAAGGTTATGATTACAAAGCGCTTCAATGCTCCACCATTCAAGGTCATTTCCTCTCTTTACCGAGATCAACCACCCTGATGCTAACTGGTGCTCCACACGTGTTGTACGCTCTGTTAGCTGTGCATTTGGTGCCTTAGGGTGGCGTTAACATTTCGGACAGAGGAAGAGAGATGGCATACGGACTAAGAGTCTGCAGGGTCCAGGAGACAGTAAGTTCCTCTACTAAAGACATGAATGTGTGACACGTTACAACTAAATATCGTATGATTTGAAACCCTTATATTGCTGATTGGCTAAATAATTGATTCATAGTTCATATTTTTTATTGACAGTTCACAAAAATAATGATTGTTCCTCTTCCCTTCCTCTGTGAGTCGCAGACTGTAAAGATGTCTGCCTTCTCTCCGATGTAATGGAACCTTATGGCACTTGTGTTGCTCAAAACACAGTGTTTGAACACAAATGCAGCACACAGGAAACCAGAAACAGTGGGTAATGATTATGAATGCCAAATCTCAGCAGGCACAGGACAGGGCAGGTAAACAACAGAGGTAAGCTCAGTCCAAGCAGACAACCTGGCAGAAGGTAGGTCGAGGCAGGGCAGAGGATCTGGAGCCAGTAGGAGCGTCAGATGGGAACACCAAGCAGGAACCAGAAGAAGATTTTAAAGGTCCCATGTCATGCTTTTCTGGTTATTACCCGTCCCCTTGTGTGCTATGAAGCTTTTTCTGCATGTAAACGGTCTGTAAAGTCACAAACCCTCAAAGTACACCCTGTAGCGAGTAAAACTCTAACACAGAAAATACCTGTCTATGCTGCCCCAGAACGCCTGATTGGACATTTCTCTTTTTCTTCCTGGGTATAGTGACGTGCCCATACCCAACTGGACCCATTGGTAGACCAATCCGTGGAGCTCCTCACACACACACACTACACTCTCTC